AGATTTTATTTATTTTATTTTTTCCCCCCAAAGCCCCAGTGGATAGTTGTATGTTGTAGCTGCACATCCTTCTAGCTGCTGTATGTGGGACTCGGCCTCAGGATGAACGGAGAAGCAGTGCCTCGATGCACACCCAGGATCCGAACCTGGGCCACCAGCATCGCAGCGCGCACACTTAACCACCAAGCCACAGGGCCGGCCCAATATATTTCTGATAACCTAGCAAATTTCAAACACCTTTCCTAAGATTCAAAACAGTAAAATGAAACCCGATACCATTATAAAGCTGTTTCCAATCAAATCACTTAAAGAAGACAACTCCCAGTTACATTTTTTCTTAATAGTTCAGGCTAAATTCCTATATACAGTTTCCCCCAAAATACTGGAGTGTAACGACTTAGCAGGCCATCGACGGTCCCTATAGGATGTAATCCCGAGATGCAAAGCAGCACAGTCTGAGATGTTTTATCCACCAAGTCTTCAACCATCTGCCTTAAATCAAAATGCTTTGGACCAACACAGACATCAGAACGAAAGGCTCAACCCAGTCTAGCTTCACTCTCTCACTGCTTGTGACACGAAGAGTGTTTGTGCCCAGTGAGAGGCTGTTGTCAGTGAGGTGGAGGCTCTGGCTACTGAGGGATGGGAAACGGATTCCAACAGGACGATATAACCTCCCAGGAGCTGTCCCACTGTGCGTCGCTGCTGCTGCTGCGGGTGACCTCCCTTCCCTCCCGCCCACGACTTTACCTTGGCTTGGGCATTTCCAGCTGCCCTGTCCATCTCCTCTGCTTGAGCTTTCTGCTCTCCACAAGAACCATCAGGCAAAACAAGAACAAAATGAGTCTTGTAAAATAAAGCATTCTGTGATTGTCTATGATGCCACAAACTGCTTTCCAGTAACCTGCGGCAGAGCAAATGCCCCCGGGCTTAACCATTGATGCAGTCTGCTGCCTTGTGACGGCACTGCTTGGAGGGGCTGCCAGCTGCGAGGGCATGGCTGGCCAGGCTGATATTCTCGATTTAATATTTGATAATGATGTTTGTCCCACCCCACCCGCAACCCCCCGGGCCGTGACACAAACACCAAGGCTTTGCTCTCCCTGCTGCTTAGTGATTGGCCATTAGTCAAGAAGTTTGTCCTGTGAAACACTGCTTCCGATGAATCCTAGAACAGCTTTGGCTAAAACTGTTATATAAAAAAAAAAAAAAAATTAAATCTCTTGAACATGCCAGCTTTTTGCTGAGATCATTAATCCGTTTCTCTGGCTGCATAAAATCAGTCTGTCACATCCACCAGGGACTCAGCGTGGATCCTGAGTGGATTTGCAGAGAAGACTTGGTGGATATGGAGACGAGGACACGAATGTGCTCAGGAAATGCTAAGTAAACACACAAATGACCTGTTTTCACAGGGTTGCTTTATTTCTTGATCTAAAATACTGTGCTTATTAACCTATAGCCAAGGGTGCTTGCTTTGCCCCCAAACACACATCAATTTTTTTTTCAATGAAAACACACCCTATCAAAGCATAAAACACACATTTTGATTTTGAAAGAAAGCATAAAACCAAAGAAGAATTCATGATTATGTAGGCTCTTCTTCCTATTATGAGCATTAGATTAATTTTGGTCTTTCATCCTAAAATGTATAATGTCAAACATCATAAATTATGTTTGATTCCTATACTGGGATACGGCATTATGAACATCAGAAGTATAAAGATACATGTGGTTATATTTAATCTACTGAACAGAATAAAATGTTTAAAAACTACTTATTGCTTGCCTGCTGTGTCCTGGGAATGGAGAGGAGTTTAGTGTGGTAGAGACATAGGGAGATGAGGATGGAGGTCAGGAGAAACAGCCGGAAGTGAAGCACAATTGGGGTTTTATTATGTAAGAAAGAATCAAAAGCTCTTTTGATCCATTTAAGCAAACTGGAATGACACTATCCCCTTTATTTTTTAAGGAATTCCTAGCTGGGATCAGTTGGATCAGGGAAGTTATAATAATAAGAGGATGAGGTCCTGCCCTAAGGGAAGGGAAGAAGGAAGGGGAAGAGGAGAGAAGACAGAAGAATGAGATGGTCAAGCTATTACTGAAGTAGAATGCATTTGGTGACTGAATATAGTAGGAGGTAAGAGAAGTCAACAATGATACCTAGGATTCAGGTTTGGAGGTAGGTCTGGTGGATGGTACCACCATTAACTGATGTACATTAGAGGCGGACAAGTTTGTGAGATAAATTCTGACATGTGGAGTTTGAGGTGCCATGGGAGTTCCAGACGCCCAGTAGGCAGCTGGACTATGAGCTTGGAGTTCAAGAGAAAGGTCTAGATTAGAGAAATAGGTTTGGGGGCATCAGTATATGGTGGTAGTTTAACCACAGGAAAGGGGGAGACCTTCCAGGGAAATAGAAGAAGTCCAAGTCCAAGCGCTGAATCTTGGAGAATCTATACTCTTAAAGCATGGATGGGCAGCCAGAACAAAAGCATAGAAGAACTAACAAAGAGGTTGACTATGAAAACCAAAGGTGAGTTTCAGGAAGGAGGGTAGTGCTGTGAAGAAGCAAGGGCAGAAAACAGGTTACTGGACCTGGCAACCACAGCATTGTTCCTAACTTCAGTTAACTGTAGTCTCAGTTGTGAGATGCACAGGCAGACAAATTACAATAGGAAGTTGGGAGTGGGAATAATTCATTAGGGGGATTAATTTAGTGGCTCCCAAATCTGGCCATTCTTCAGAATTATCCAGGCAATTTGTTTAAAAGCCCTACTCCTGCGGAAGACTTAGTGGCAAAGGGGTGAGACCTTTTGAAGTTCTTTTCCATACATTTTGTTCAAAAGATCTCTCTTTTCCTCTCTTCCATTTGGAACAGGGCTATGAAGCACTGCCTGGAACCCTAGAACTGTGCCAGATGTTGTTAGTTTTCAAGAAATATTTGTTTTGTTGCATTCCAGATACAACCAGATCCTACCAACTTTTTCTTTAAATCTCTCTTATTTTCAGTGATTCAATTATTATGATTACAGTAGGGAGAAAACCACACTTGGAGTGGTGTAACTTTTTTTAATAATAGCTTTACTGAAATATCATTCACATACCATAAATTCACCCCTTTAAAGTATGGTTTTTAGTATATTCAGAGTTGTGCAACTATCACCACTAATTTTAGAACATTTTCACCTCCCCCAAAAGAAACCTCATACCCATTAGCAGTCACTCCCCATTCCCCCTTCCCTTCAGCCTCTGGTAATCACAAATCTACTTGCTGTCTCTAAGGATTTGCCTATTCCGGACATTTCACATAAATGGAATCATACAATATGTTGCCTTTTGTGTCTGGCTTCACTCACTTAGCATAATGTTTTCAAGATTCATCCATGTTGTAGCATGTGTTATAACTTTATTCATTTTTATTGTCAAATAATATTCCATTATATAGATATAACACATTTTGTTTATCCATTCATCAGTTGATGGGCATTTGAGTTTCCAGTTTCTGGCTATTAACAATAATGTTGCTATGAATATTCATGTACAAGTTTGTGTGAACATGTTTTCATTACCCTTGGATACATACCTGGGAGGGGAATTGTTGGGTCATATGGTAACTCTATGTTTAACTTTTTGAGGAACTGCCAAACAGTTTGCAAAGTGGCCACACCATTTCACATTCCCACCAGCAATGTATTAGAGTCCCAATTTCTCCCACGTTCTCAGCAACACTTTTTTATTCTAGCCATCATAGTAGGTGTGAAGTGGTATCTCACTGTGGTTTTGATGTGCATTTCCCTAATGATGTTCAGCATCTTTTCATGTGTTTTTGGCCATTTGTGTATCTTCTTTGTACAAATGTCTGTTCAAATCCTTTGCCATTTTTAAATCAGATTGAGTTATAAGAGTTCTTTAGATATTCTGGATACAAGTCCCTTATCAGATATATGATCTGCAAATATTTTCTCCCATAGTATGCTTTTTCACTTTCTAAATGGTGAAACAGGGCCGGCTCCGTGGCTTAGCGGTTAAGTGTGCGCGCTCTGATGCTGGCGGCCCGGGCTCGGATCCCGGGAGCGCCCCGAGGCACCACTTCTCCCTCCAACGCGAGGCCGAGTCCCACGTACAGCAACTAGAAGGATGTGAACCTATGACATACAACTATCTACCGGGGGGGCTTTGGGGGGGAAAAAATGAATAAATAAAATCTTAAAAAAAAAAAAATAAGTGGTGAAACAGAAAAGCTTTTATTTTGACAAAATATAATTTCTTTGCTTTTTCTTTGGTTGCTTGTGCTTTTGATTTCATGTCTTAAGAAACCACTGCCTAACCCATGGTCACAAAGATTTACTGTGCTTTCTTCTAAGGGTTTTATAGTTTTTGTTCTCACATTAAGGTCTTAGACCCATTTTGAGTTAACTTTTGTATGTGGCGTGAGGCAGTGGACACATAACTTGAACATTTGTTCATTCCTCTCAGGACAGAGGACTTGCCCTAGTGGCTCAAGCTCAGAGCTGTGGGAAGGCCTCAGTAGCATTTGCTCATGTCAGATTAGGCCAGAGAGCTAGCTGGGACTCTGGTCACACACAGCCTTGTATCCTACATGAAGGGTTTGAGTCTACCTTAAGAGCAGTGAGAGAGACAGGATCAGATCTGTGCATGGGGGAACACTGGCTGCAGTGTGAGGAGTAGGGCAAGACTGCAGACCTATTAGAGGTTACTGCACTAATTCAGAAGAGATGATGGCTAACTAGGGTAGTGGCTGTGAGCGTGACGAGAAGCGGAAAGATGCGAGAGAATACTCAAAGAGGTAGACTGGACAGAAGGTAAGACCGGATGACATAAAGAACACAATCTTTGGTCAAAACAAGGTACAAATAAAGTCACTGGTTTTATTGAGCAGCTCAAACTAGTTCTGAAGGCAGCTTGTCAAAGAGGCATTCCAAACAGCTTTTGAGCAATGTACAGCCTCCCACAAAGGCTTTACTGGTACCCACGTTAATGTATACATTATAAAAGTCAGGTTCACTAAATGCATTCACTTTTCATACACTTACTTGCAAGCAATAAAACAATTTAGGCTTTTCAGTACTTCAGCCTAGGTTTCTGCTCAAATAAGTCCAAATGAGTGAAGTTTGCTTGTTTACTGATCCTGGTCTATACAAACGGGAGGTTTCAAGATACCAGAAAGTTTATTCATAGCTAAAAATAACAAAAAGGTTTCTTGTTCTCCTGAAATAGGAAATTTTATATTTCCATTGTCAAAACAATAAACAATTTTTAAAGGCTCTTTAAAAAATTAGTTGAGAATTTTGATGAAATTCATTTATTTCAGTAGAATAAAACAACAAGCAGCATGGAAATGTAAAGTGCTACATAAAAGCCCCGCAACACACAAAATCTGAAAGGTTTCACTGGCTTAATTACAGGTGAAACAGTCATCATACATTTTTTCAAGCATGCTGTTTTAACGACCTTGAAATGTAGTCATGTGCTATGTTGGTCAAAGAAAAAGCCATGAGTTCCCTAAATCCAAGGACTGGGAGAAGGAGCAGTCCTAAGCCTTTACCTATCAAACATCCAGTTTTGGCCTAGGGGATTAAACTGAGACTTTAAAAATAATAGTTTTCTGAAGAGGCCCTTCCTGTGGCATTTGCGTACGAATGGCCCCACAGATCACCTTTGCTCACTAACTCCACGGTGGAGGTCAGATTGACAACTTGAGGAATTTTAGGTAGCATATGTGAGCTGAAAGGGAAGGAGCAAAAAAATGTACCACTTGCAGATACACATAGCAGATGCTAAAAAAATCCCAACACAAACAAGAAGGTGGCCTGTCAGCCGACGGGTGAGGGAAGAGATGCAAATGAGAGACAAACGATCTGTACAATGCAAATCTTCTTGGCTTCATCAATTTTAAAGTATAGGTACACCTCAGGGAACAGGCAATAAGATCACAGAGGTGCAGACGCTGGCTCAAGTTTAACTGAGAGGAAAGGGAGCGAAGATTGTTCTAGCACATGATTCATCTCAGCATAGGTTGAGAGCACGGGGATTTCCTTCTTCTCGGGATAACATTACCCGGTCTTCACAGGTGGGTCAGTGACCTCTCGCTAGGAGACCACTGACCACTGACCCAGTATTCCTAATATCCTGTGTTCCAAATCAAGACTTCAGAAAATATTTTCTCATGGCAATAAAGTTATAAAATGGTAACCTAAAATTTTCCTGACATACGAGGTCTTCATAAAGTCCTTGGGCTTTTTAGACTTTACCAAGCTGCAGACATAACAGAAACAATCTGTAAACTTTTAAAATACTAATTTATTAAAGTTTAAGACAACTATGTATTATATAAATTGTATATAATGTTCTTACTTTAGATGCAGACATAAAGGAAAACTGGCTATCAGATGAACACAGAAATTGTGTCTGATGGTTAATAGGATCCAAGTCCCATAGCAGGAGTAAAAATTAAATTTGCCTTTAAAATAATTTTTTTTTTGGTGAGGAGATCAGCCCTGTGCTAACATCTGCCAATCCTCTTTTTTTTTTTTTTTTTTTTGCTGAGGAAGACAGGCCCTGGGCTAACATCCATGCCCATCTTCCTCCACTTTATATGGGATGCTGCCACAGCATGACCTGCCAAGCAGTGCACCGGTGCGCGTCGGGGATCTGAACCGGTGAACCCCGGGCCGCCGCAGTGGAGCGTGCACACTTAACTGCTTGCACCACTGGGCCGGCCCCTAAAATAATTTTACAAATTGTTTCTTTCTTGCCTATAATTTCAGTTAGTTAAAAACCACAAAAGGACTTTATGAATACCATCCCCTAAAGTATTCAAGATACATTATGGACTAACTTGTGGACGCATCTAGAACCTAAACACAATTTATGACATTGAGTTGGAAAAAAAATTAACTTACAAATGCACTTTTAGAGAATAACCTATTTGAAAGCTGGGGACTGCCTGTATTTAAAAATTAAATCCTCATTAACAATACTCTCAAGAGTGCCCTCAATGCGGCTACCGAACATGCTGAAGGCAATGTTTTCTGGGCTTCTCTGTTCTCATCAGGCAGTAGGATGATAAAATTACCTACTAGAGTCCGTGGAGCTAGCTAGCCTTAAGTTATACATTGATTTTGCACTGAAAATTATTTCTTGGGCTTTGATTACGTGGACAATTCTAAGTAAAGGTTTTTCTAATTTCTATCACTGTTATTTGGGCCCTGAGCTTCTCTATTAAAATGGTGTATGAAATATTTCAACATTAGGCATATTCCTGGAATAATTAAATTTATAGTGATTACAAAGCTAGGCATATAATACATCTTAAAAGATATACAATTCAAAGCGGAGCAAATATTCAAATCTTAAGATCTTCCCACTTAACTTCTGGAAGAAAATCAAGCAATTTTCTGGTTTGTACCCTTTCTTCCTTAAAACAAAGATCTATAGAGGATTGTTTTCTTTCTTTTTAAATCTTGTGCATACTGGAGAGAAGGGGTAACAGCATATCAATGTGGTTACAAAGCATTATTCCCTCTTCAAGTAACAACCAATAACAAAGACGTAATCGTATTTTCTCACAAATGTTTGACTGAAATAGTTACTTTCACTGAAGAAGGTTATGACACAAAGTCAGTCACAGAACGGGCAATCCCAGTACGTTTCCTATGAGCGACATTTTAAGTAAGCTATTTGAGGCGTTTTTCTTTCCCTTTTCAACTCTTATCCCTAATCATTCTACAGAAGTAGAAACAGAGTACTCAATAAATGGTATTGAGTAACGACTAATACTTATTGGAAATTAAAACACCATTTTTTATCCAAAAATTTCAAAGGGTTATACAGAAAAGTATCACAAATTTACATAAAAGCAAGCTGAGGCATGAGAAACAACAGTAAGTTACTTCTCTGTAAAGCAGGTCAGACAGTGAGACAAGGGACTCGCACTCCCAGTCCCTTAACCAAAGCAGGACACAGTCTGCATGTCTAGCTCTATTTATACTGAATTTATAAGGACCAAAAAACGAACGAAGGGTAAATACAAAATAAACTTTTTGTAAACACTTCTTAGATTATACCCAATGCAGAATGTTTAATGAAGCACTTGAGTCACAGCTCGTAAGACACAAAACAATATCATAACTCAAAGTCAAAAATGTACTCGTTGGCCAGATATATTCGTCGGAATATAAGAGCTGCCAAGGCCAAAGTCAAGATGACAATCAGTACAGCGGATCCGCCATGATGGGTGTGGTTGTCTCTTGCCTGCTGGCCCTGGCCTACATCTGGTGAAGCAGACGACCTTCTTTGACTCTGCTGCTGCGCCCGGCGCTGTCGAGGACTCATGGAGGTATTCTTAGCTACAGGTTGGGCAGGCTGTTGAAGGGACGCTGCCGAGGGGTTTGGGACTCCATACTAGGAAATTTTAAGAAATTTTGTTTGTAATTGGCAGAGAAAACTTGTATATATACCTGTTACCTATTCAAGAGTACAAAGACTCTCAGAGCACTAAATATGACTAAGGGCAAAACTACTAAGAATTATCTGAATGCTGAGACTAATAACTCACCCTCCTGAATAAGCCAGCAACACAACTTACTCTGAGCACTCACAAGGTGGAGAGGAATTTACCAGCCACAAATAAGACCAGGACAGAGCTTACCCATATTTTCCATAGAGGGCTTTCTACTCCCCCTCAGCTGCAACTCCCGCAGTATCTGCTAGGCATCTGGGCACCTCCCTTCTTTCAAGAGAGCCAAGGAGGGAAGCAATTTGATTTTCACTTTCTGCCTGAAAATCTGCCATTCTAAATGGCCAAAAAGGCAACTCGCAACTGTGTGCCTTTCATGAAGCAGGTTTCTTCCAATATTATCTCACTACATCAACATGGTTTCACCAACAATCATAGAGCATTGGAAATAATTTCAAACTGTATGTTCTTCACAGCAATACTGCTGAAAAAATTAGATGTAGTTTTCAAACCAGGCTTATCCTTTCTCACAACTCCTGTCAAATGAGTTGAACACAAGTCTAGAAGAACCCTTTACTGTGTGTTTGAACTGTGTTACTTTATGCATGTAAAGCACGAACTGTGGTACTTTATGTTGTTAAGAGTTCCTTGGGGGCCGGCCCCGTGGCACAGTGGTTAAGTTCGTGTGCTCAGCTTCGGTGGCCCAGGGTTCGCAGGTTTGGATCCCGGGCGTGGACCTACGCACTGCTCATCAAGCCATGCTGTGGCAGGTGTCCCACATATAAAGTAGAGGAAGACAGGCACGATGTTAGCCCAGGGCCAACCTTCCTCAGCAAAAAGAGGAGGATTGGCAACAGATGTTAGCTCAGGGCTAATCTTCCTCACCAAAAAAAAAAAAGAGTTCCCTGGGTATGTGCTGAGAAAAATCTGAAGGTAGCTGTGGGAGACTCAATGTAGCCTCTACTAGCTGACACACTAGTTGCCCCACAAAGCCCTAGATGTTGACTGCTTTCTATTCTTTCAACACCTGCTCAGTGAAAGCATAACCACAATGTGGTACCAAGTGATTCAAAATCTTAAACATAGTTTACAGATAAGAAGGCTCTATAAAATATGAATTCCATTTTATTTATATAGATACCTTAACTCTACTCCTAGTAGCCCAATGACCTTTAATTCTTTTATTGAAAACAACTTTATACTTATTATATTAGTGCCAATACACATTCTTTCAAATAAGAAATAAGAACGTATGTTTTATTAAGAAAAACTTTAAAAACTGAGTAAATAGAAAACATCTAAAATACTTTCAATTAGAAAAAATTTAATATTTAGAAGAAAAAAATAACTGAATAATGTAATTCAAATACTTTTTTAAAAAGGCAAGATGATGGGCTTTGTGCTGGCAACAGCTACAAACATTAGGGAAAAAACTGCTGATCTAAGTTACCTGCAGAAGAAATTATATATATATATATATATTTTTTTTTTTTAAAGATTTTATTTATTCATTTTTTTCCCCCCAAAGCCCCAGCAGATAGTTTTACGTCATAGGTTCACATCCTTCTAGTTGCTGTACGTGGGACTCGGCCTCGCGCTGGACGGAGAAGCGGTGCCTTGGGGCGCGCCCGGGATCCGAACCCGGGCCGCCAGCATCAGAGCGCGCGCACTTAACCGCTAAGCCACGGAGCCGGCCCCAGAAATTATATTTTAAATCTGACATTCATCTCAACATTAAAGGCCTAAATAATCTGAATTTCTTAAAACTATCCTTTGGAAGCGCTCAAATGTAGTGACCTACAACACAGACACAGAAAGGAACTACTGACTTTGAAAAGGTAAAAATAAAAGCCAGAGCTGATACTGAACTAGAGCTGTATTAACTTGGACTTCTGTTCTCCAGGACTGCAAGTGAAATCTGCGCATTGAAGAGAGCAGACACATAAAGCTGCAGCATTTTACGAGGTCGTCCACTGTCAAGGTGTCATTAGTGGACTTAATAAATAGTCATTGAGTTGAACTGAGTTATGGCAGCCAACACAGCAAATTCCATCTGAAATTTCCCATTCCTTCAATCGCTCAGCCAAGATAACGAAAAGTGTCTGAGAGAGCACACGTACTCGAGGCTTAGAGGGAAATGGGTTCTTAAGGAAAATAAAAAAACATGATGGTGCTACCAACCCAGAAACTAGCACAAGAAATTGACTCAGCTTCAAGTTTTTATTTTATACATGTTACTTTTTTCCATCAGTTTGAAGGGAGAACACTATCCTGCCCATAGACCCAACCAAAACTGGGAGCCTTATCAGTACTAGGCTGGCTTCACCCCTCTGTAGATGTGTGACCCTGAGCAAGTTATTTAACCTAAGACTCCGCTCCCTCATCTGTACAATAAGGATAATGTCCAACTCAGTAGTCATGAGGATTAAATGGAATAATGATGCAAAGTGCTTAGGATACACAATTGCTTGTTAAACATCAGTTATTATTAATATTGTTACTATTAATATATTCCTTTGGAGGCACTAAATTTAGGTTAAAAAAAAGTCATGACATTACTTAGGACAGCTTTTCAGAACTTTATTAGTATAATTAATATATTTAGAACAAAAATCCCTTAAAACGTTGGCTTTAGATAATACATTAGTACATGCACTTAACGGAAATATTTTTATAGATACACTGCTTTAATTAGGTTCCTATATCTCAGCTGCCTTTTGGATGATACATTACTGACTACAATCTATTGCTGTGATATTATAAAATTCTAAAATTTTTTGTATTTAAAACAGTCACATCAAGGGAAAACTGTAATGACCCCAAGCTGACAGGCCCTGAGGAACCTAAATTATCTGGAGTAGAACGACTAATTGGACTAAATTTCGGAAGTTCATACTGAACTCCCAGATGGAGAACCGAGTTGGCTTTAGCATTTTCAAAATGCTGTCAGTTTGGTGGTAGGACTTCTAAATCTTTGCTGTTTGCCTAAACTTGTTCAAACACACTTATCATAGAATGAACACTTAAGTCATAATAGTTTCCGTTTCCTTAATTAAGATGAAGTGACCACTTCTGGGAAGGTGGAAGTACGTGACGTTTGTATTTAATTAAGTTTAACTTAAATATTAAAAAGAAAAATCACAGATAAGTCCCTTGTAAAAATATAAATTTTTCTCTAATAACCTAGAATAACCAGCATTGTCTTTGCCTTTCAATACAAAGTGGAATAGCTTATTCAAACCTGAATCCCTGAGAAGAGGAAACACCTGATGGACTGGAACAGAACGACACCACCAGTATCCTCCCCATCTCTACACAGCTAAAACATCCGCATCCAACAACAGACGGCCTGATGTTGTCCGCTGTATCTAGACGTGAAGCAATCTCTCGCCCCTCAAGGCTAAAATAACATAGCTTATCTGGGATGTGATGTACAACATCTCAGTGAATTTATAGTACACTTGCATGTAAAGTAGCCACCCCTAGCCAAAACCAGGTTTCAGTGACTTCCACAGTGACAAAATTATACAATCATGCTCTGAGATAATTTGTATGTGAATGTAATAAAAAGCTTAATTTGTAATTGTAGACAATTCATTGCTTGTCAGTGTTTTAACCAGAACTGGTACCAATTAATACCTATATCTATGAAAGAAATCTAAGTTTTATGTACTTTAAAATCAAAATGGAAAATACTACTGTAATAATAACATTGTTTGTGTAATCTAATTTACTTAACTTCTGGATTTCTTTACCTGTATTCCCAGTATTTTTTAAAAGTGCTAAACCTAAAATTGATTTATTCAATCAACAAACATGTATTGACCACCGACTGTATACAAGGCACTTTGCCAGCACTGGGGACCAGTGCAGGAGAGAGAGAGCCCTGATCCTCAAGGAACTTATATTCTGGGACGAGAGACAGACAATAATTAATTAATTATAAAGTAAATTACAACTGGAATAAGTATAACTGGAATATGCAACAGGAGGACTTGACATAGATTTAAAACAGACTAAAGATAGATTTATATACATCACAAATATTAGGAGACTGTCCTTATAGGTGAAAAAAAGACTACCCCCTTCCTCTCTGTACTAGCATGCTTCCATTTCTAAAAAAATTATGAAATAAAAAACAATTAGAATTCTAAAGGTGAAAAGTTAACACACATACTGACTAAAATGAATTCACTATATTCCTCTGCAGTTCACAAAATGACACGTAAAAATGACTTAACTCTCAGTATATGCTTTTTTCTTATACCTCTGTCTCCAGTTCTCCAAATACTTCCTTCAGAGCACCCTCTCCCCTGCTTTCTCCAACCTACTTCTCTCTGCCCATCTCGCTCTCCGAATAGGACAGAGTCACTCAAGACTATTCAATCCCACTTTACAGTAAGTTATTCCTGAGTAAAGGGCAAATCTGTATCTGCCCAGCTTCTACTTCAATTTTCCTGACCCTTTAAAATCCTCTGTAAACTGAGGGGGGAAAAAAATGTGGCTACTCAACCAAACAATCTGTTACCAAAAAGACCCCACAAGACAGTTCATCTTTTTTATATGGAAAGGAAAGTCAATGTTTTTACCCATAATCCTAATTATTTAGCAACAATCCAGTCACATTTTCTTAATCAGTCTCTCTGACCACCTAGGCCCACCAATACTTAGACAACAGATCAGGACACAACTAACAACACCCTGAGCTAACATCACTTATTCTTTCATTCAAAATTATTTATCAGGGCCAGCCCCGTGGCTTAGCGGTTAAGTGCGCGTGCTCCGCTGCTGGTGGCCCGGGTTCAGATCCCGGGCGCGCACCGACGCACCGCTTCTCCGGCCATGCTGAGGTCGCGTCCCACATACAGCAACTAGAAGGATGTGCAGCTATGACATACAACTATCTACTGGGGCTTTGGGGGGAGAATAAATAAATGAATAAAATCTTTAAAAAAAAAAAAAATTATTTATCAGACACTTACTACGTGTAAGGCACCGCTGTCCAATAGAACTTTCTGAGATGATGCTATGTTTGACATCTATGCTGTCCAATACAGTAGCCACTAGCCACACGTGGCTATGGAACACTTGAAATGTGGTCAGTGCGACTAAGGAACTGATTATTAATTAAATTTAATTTAATTTAATTCTGAGTAATTTAAATGTAAACTTAGACAGCCACGTGCAGCTAGTGGCTACTACACTGGACAGAGCAGGTCTAAGGCAAACCTTTAGCTCCTGGCCTTTGTCAAGTCAGTGCCTTAATGCAGCTTAACAGACCTGCCAAGGACTCAGTGCCTATTTAGAAAGTGGCTAATTTATGTATATTTTATTTTAGCCAGAGTGTAGCACTACATTGAAACCAACTTTTCAGAGAAATCGTAGAATTCTGGAGAGACGATAGGACCTAAAAATTATTTCGTTCAGCCCCATTTAACAAAAAAGAAGGCTCAGAAAGTATGAATTACTTGCTTAAGATAATATAACTCATTAGAGGGAGAGCTAGGCTAGAATCTAACTGTTAGGGAGAACCAAAATATTCAGCTATCTCATCTAGGGATCTCCTCCTCCTATTGCAAATAATGATAATGATACAGATACACACAAATGTAAAAGACAAGCGCCATACCGATGTACTGGCCGTAGCACCCTGGAATGTCGTAGGCATATCATCTTGTAAATCATTTAGTGAAAAAGAGTGGTTTAAGTCCGACTCGGCAATAGTCTTTCCAGATGAATTGACTTCTGCCTATAAAACAGATACACCCAAGAGCAGTATTACAAGAAATGTACAGAATAACCACAACCTACTAAATTCCCTCTCTTGGATTTATTTTAATTGCTACCTTAATATAAACTATCAATCAGTTAGGCGTTGAGCACTTGTGTGTACAACATTCTGAGAGGTATTATAGGAAGCGGCACAGACAATCCTGTTCTCAAGACGTCACTTGGTGACGGACAAAACTAACACCATGGTTCACAATCCACAATTCCAAAAAGCTCTAAAAACTAAACTTTTGCAATTTTCAGGCAAATTTTGACACGTGAGGCTATTAGCAGTCTTGATCCCACATTAGTGTAAATATTCGCAGGTTTGCTGAGGAAACATTAATGGATTTGATATGGGGTGCTGCCCCAGATCCCACTACAGGTGTTAATACATGGTATATGTTTGATAGTTTCTAAAATCTGAAATTCTGATGTATAAAACACTTCTGGCCCTAATATTTTCAGAGAAGCAATTTTAAATAAAACAGGAATCCTCAGAAGGAAGAGAATAACCAACATTCATTAAGCACCTCCTCTCTCAGGCACCACAATAAAACACAAGGAAAAATTTCTCCTAAGAACTGGACTAGAAGGACAGACAGGATGTAGAGAGGTGGAGAAGGAGGAGGAGGTAGCAGGTTGCTTAATGCAGGTGGAGCTAATTAAATTCCAGAAGTAATTATGTTTGGTCAAAACATAAGCAGAAAAAAAGGATACACGGGAGATGTGCCAATATATTAATAGTAGCTATTTCTTGGGGATAGGATTATGCATTGATTGTTATTTTCTTATTGTTTATCTATATTTTCTATATTAATAGCTAAAATTTGTTAAGCACCAGAGACAGTTCTAAATGCAATACATTTAAGTGAGTATTAACTCACAATCTTCAAAAGAATCTTACAAGATAAGTAGTCATGCGCCGCATAACAACGTTTAGGTCAACAATGGACCGCATATATGATGGTGGTCCCATAAGATTAGTACCATACAGCCTAGGTGTGTGTAGTAGGCTGTATCATCTAGGTTTATATAAATACTGTAGGGGAGGGAGAAATTTTCCTCTACCCTTCTAGGTTCTTCTGGCTGATCTAAGAATTAAATTGACATGAGACAGATTAACAGGAGAAAAGCAAACAAAAGTTTAACAACACGTATACATGGAAGAAACCCAGGAAAACAGAGTAACTTGCCAAAATGGCCAAAGCCCTCACCTTAAATACATCCTCAGCTAAAGACAAAAGAAGATGCTGAGGGTGGGGATAGTCAGGGACTTCCAAGGGAAGGAAGGCAACTCACAGGTAGGGAAAAAGGAGCAAACATTTGGAAAACAAGTGTTTGTCTGGCCACACACAAGTGCAAGAACACAGAGGAGAGCCCAACAAACAGGCAAAAGCACTAGGTTTGTCATTGTCTACCACTCTGTTTTATGTGATGCTAAGGTAACAGCTCCCTTCCTGAGACAGGTTTTTTTATCTGAATTCTTTCAGGCAGTTAAGAGGGAGGTAACAAGAAAAACTTTCTGAGTCTTTTGTTTCTTAAAAATAATCAGCTAGGGGGCCAGCCCCATGGCTCAGCGGTTAAGTGCGCGCACTCCGCTGCTGGCGTCCCGGGTTCGGATCCCTGGCGCGCACCGACGCACCGCTTCTCCGGCCATGCTGAGGCCGCGTCCCACATACGGCAACTAGAAGGATGTGCAGCTATGACATACAACTATCTACTGTGGCTTTGGGGGAAAAAATAAATAAACAAACAAACAAAAAAAAAAAATCAGCTAGGGGCCAGCCTGGTGGCATAGTGGTTAAGTTCACACACTCTGCTTTGGTAGACCAGGGTTCATGGGTTCAGATCCCAGGCGCAGACCTACGCACTGCTCATCAAGCCATGCTGTGGCAGGCGTCCCACATATAAAGTAGAGGTAGATGGGCATGGATGTTAGCCCAGGGCCAATCTTCCTCAGCAAAAAGAGGAGGATTGGCAACAGATGTTAGCTCGGGGCTACTCTTCCTCACAAAGAAAAATAAAATCATCATCATCATCATCAGCCTAGGGGCCAGCCCCATGGCATACTGGTTAAGTTCGGCGTGCTCTGCTTCAGTGACCTGGGTTCGTGGGTTCGGATCCCAGGTGCGGACCTACACTACTCATCAGCCATGTTGTGGCGGCAACCCACATACAAAATAGAGGAAGACTGGCACAAATGTTAGGTCAGGGCTAAACTTCCTCAAGCAAAAAAAAAAAAAAAAAAAAGGAAGATTGGCAACAACTGTTAGCTCAGGGCAAATTTTTTCTTTCCTCAGCAAAAAATAATAATAATAATCAGCCTAAAATAATCTTCACGTTAAAGAGACACATTTTGGGATGGCAAATTTTGTTCCCCTTCAGTATTCTCTACGATGTTTGCATGATGACGAAATCACCTAATGACACGTTTCTCAGAATGTATCCCCATTGTTAAGTGACACATGACCGCACCATTATTACTTACAGTTGAGAAAAAGGCACAAAGTGGTTAGGTAACATGTTTGATGTCCTGCTACCAATAAGCAGCAGAGCTGGGATGTGAACCCTGGCATGTATACCAGAGTCTACATTTTTAACTTCTATGCTATGCTGCCTTTATGAATGTCTATTATTAGTTTTGTAATAAAAAAAATTATTTCTAAAAACTTTATTGAGGGCCAGCCCCGTGGCTTGGTGGTTGAGTGAGCGCGCTCCACTGCTGGCGACCCGGGTTCGGATCCCGGGCTCGCACCGACGCGCTGCTTCTCTGGCCATGCTGAGGCCGCGTCCCACATGCAGCAACTAGAAGGATGTGCAGCTATGACATACAACTATCTACTGGGGCTTTGGGGGGAAAAATAAATAAATAAAATCTTTAAAAACTTTATTGAAATAGAACTATATTGCTTTACTTTCTATCCAGAATTTGAAAGTAAACAAAAGAGCTACATAATTAGAATTTATTTACGAATTTAGAGTACCTTAAAACTGATTTGTCTAGCCAGTTCCTTGGCTTCTTGGTCAGCCTGGCTTGAATCACTTCCAGATTTTAAAGGCAACAGGACATCCTTCATGGCAGAACCACATCCCTCACAACAGAAATCTTGTGATCTGGTAGGAAATAAATTTTTTTGATGGGTATAAATCAAATACTTGAATGTTAATCCACGATAGTTAAATACTGAATGATTAAAAGAACACTGGATAATTCCGTATCACATTCATCTACATGTAAATTAGACAATTATGGCAATAATTATAGTTCTGAGACAAATACACAAGTTAAGTTGGTGTAAAAAGAAATCCATGTCAATTATATCTCAATTTAAAAAAATCTAAAATTAAAAATAGGGCCACTCCTGTGGCTTGGTGGTTAAGTGCGCGCGCTGCGATGCTGGCGGCCCGGGTTCGGATCCCGGGTGCGCATCGAGGCACCACTTCTCCGTTCATCCTGGGGCCGAGTCCCACATACAGCAACTAGAAGGATGTGCAGCTACGACACACAACTATCCACTGGGGCTTTGGGGGGAAAAAAT